ATTAATGCATCGTTTAAAAAATATGTAATTAACACTATTTACAAATAGTAACAAAAACGTACTCTTCACACATGCTCGAATATACAAAACGACCACGTGTTGCTATAAGCTCAGAATTCCTGACGTCAGACACCAAAAGGTAGTATAACCGGGAATTCCTGACGTCAGACACCAAAAGGCTCACTGATTGATATAATTATTTCTATCATTAGTGTGTTTCCTATTTGTTCTGTCGACCGAAGTTGTCTATAAGTATTTTAAAACTGCTTTACTATGTGTTGCGTGGTTATATTAATAGAACTGGCACACCAATAGGTTTAAGTTTGTTTTCGTTTCCAAATAATCGGGTAACATGAAAGGCTTAGATTCATACCATGAATAGAGCAAAACTTTACACTATCAGGTATAACGAAACGTTGTCAAATCTACCCTGCAGGCCTAGGAGAACATGCTTTGTTTGTTTTGAATTTCGCGCAAAGCTACACGAGGGCTATCTGCGCTAGCCGTCCCTAATTTAGCAGTGTTCCCACTATTCGTTGGTAAAGAGTAGCCCAAGAGTTGGCGGTGGGTGGTGATGACTAGCTGCCTTCCCTCTAGTCTTATTGACCGTCATATTATAACGCCCCCACGGCAAAAAGGGGCGAGCAGATTGCGAGTCGAGCGCCCTAACCACCTGGCCATGCCGGGCCGATAAGGGAACTATCCAAAGAAGTTTTGGTAAGGAAAATAAGACTATTATTATTATTTTTTTTTTTTACACATACATCTTACTATTCATTCAAGATGAAAATGTCGAAGTTACGTTTTTGTTTGATACAAGCTGTCATATGAAAAATATTTGTTCTGTATTTTTTGTATTATCCTAGAAAATATAACACCACAGTAATCTGTCAATTTTCAAATAGTCCATAGTCATGCAGTGTAAACTTTAATATGTTGTACACTGTAACAACTAACTGAAACGGCGGAGTCATCATTTCTAATTGAAATGGGCTGAAAGATATTAAACAATGAGGGGAATATCCGTAAAGAAACAAAAGGGGAACTCAGAAGTAGAGCCAATTCACTAAATAACAAAACAAAAAAAACACGTACACTGATAATGAAAATTGTTTCAGTGATGTAATGAAATATTCAGAAGAATACTTCACTGGCATATTTAACAGTATTAACGTGTTGAGTTTATGTGTGTGTAGTATAAAAGTGATCAAAGTACCAGGATATCCCACTTTTCACCCGAAAAGGGAGAGCTTGATGATTACGAAACGTTGTATGGGTGGGTCTGCATATCACGCTATTCCCGTTGTAACTGGTACGGAACCAATTACAAGGAGAATCAGTCATAAGGTTCTTATTTCTTTAGTACTTCCAAGAACTTGAGGATATTGCACGGCGTCGGTAACATCTTTTACGATAAAAATGTACTTATAAAAGCTGTTATCACATTTCTGGTTCATGTTACATAGCCTTAAACAATAATTTTCATGATTACTTTTCATGTTTACATAAAATTTGTAAAAAGTAGCCACTAACCTCTCTATAAAACTCTGTGAACGAAAGTTTTGCTTAGTTAAATATATATATAGTTATACCTATTCTATTTATTATATATCAATATCTCTGGCAAGGAAGCACACACACATATTGTGAAACAACACTTTAAATATTCGATGATTTTCCTCAACTAAACTCTGAGAATACTACACCCCCTTTAAAAAACAAAACAAGTACACTTGCCATGGAAGAAATATTCTGACAGGTACTGGTACTTGTTTCTTCTTATCAAAAGCAGAATTTCTCTCAACAACTAAGTCTCGATAAACCAGCTTACGATAATTAATATGTTTAACCATATAAATTAATATGTTTTATCATAGCCACTCTATTGCCTATTTCTCCATACTGCAAATAAAGGGTTGGACAAAATATATAAAAAAGTTTAAACATAAAGAATACCACATGCAAATACTGGGTACTATCATGGGGAGAAAACCCTGATGAAGGGAGTTTCCGTAAACACCCAAACCTTACAATAAAACAAGCAACTCAACAGCGTAAAACACATATCTTGTTCTTTTTTTTTCTTTTTTTAACATTCAGGTTTCCAATATTTGCTTCAGTGTGTGTGTGTGTATTCCCACCATTCTACTTCAATACCTTAAACAATTCACGTTAAGGAGAAGGACAAAAAAAAATCCACTAAACAGGTGAAGTTAAACTTGTCTTACCTGTTTCTCCTTTCCATTTGTTGTGACAAGAAGTTGGAATAATAATTCTCAAGGTGCAACTTTGCCTTGTTCACCTTATCCAACGTGTGACCACTAAATCTTACTTGTCCACTATCAGTGGCTGCCATCTTAGCGCGATAATTTTTCTGCAAGAATAAATCATATCAACTTCTATAGACAAGTCTATACTACGGATCTTTCACAGAAGAAATAAATATCTTCATTTTACTAACATATTACTTTTCAGCTGAATTTATTATAAGAATTATATAATTTGTTAAATAAGTATTTCATAATGGTCAACATGTTTATGAAAAAGTACAAACGGGTTACGATCCAGCTTGAAATTATAAGTAAAGACAATTCTCAAAAAACTTGAGAAAATGAGACCAAGGTCGCGGTGTGACATGATTTGAGAAAACTTAACTTTAATTCTGTAATCTGTAGGGGTAATACTGAAATCTGGCGTGACCTACTGAAACAGGAGACTTTTTCCAAAAATCTACTAAATATTGGAACAATAATGTGGTACACGGGTTCACGCCCCTTACAGTTTGTTTCTTTGCGACCATTATTAATAATCGTTAAAACAATCAAATGGTATTCGAAATATGCAAGTAAACAACCATTGATTAAATCCAAGGAACTGTGATCAAAACTACAAACGCAGCATATTAAGTTTTATTTTATTAATGTTGAAACTATTTTTCTCTTAGTAAATTAATTAAAATGACGAGTTCAGTCTTAATCCTAACGTAAATGTTTTATATATATTAAAAGTCCCTCGACTAAACTTGACCAAATAGTATTGCTTATTCATACCCTTGGTAACTTGCGTCACCAGCGTTCTTGTTGTTGTTTTTTCTAGAACGTATACTAGTTTGTTTGTTTTTTCTTGGTTGATATTTAACGTCAATGTATTTAAACTTCATCCCAACCTTTATATGTAGAAACGTTAGAAAAGTATATTTAAGAACTGTAATGATGGTCAGGTTGATTTTTGAATTTCGCTCTAAGTAGCATACCTTACTCTGACAGGAAACTATTATTATTTTCTACTGTATGCTAAAAACAACCATGTGAACACTGGTGACCAATGAAGTACACTGAATAAGTGAATAAATATGTTTTTGGGGCAAGCTTCCTCCAGAGACTTACATTGGGCAAAACGTGTACCTTAGGAAAAGGCGCCAACTCGTCACGCTCACTGATTTAAGTTAAAAAGAGTTGAAACTTTAACGGAAGAAACTTGTTGTTGACTGCATACAAAAAATTACTGGAAGACATAAGTTAAAAGGATGGGCCAGAAATTAATCACACTTCTTAGATTAAGTGCGTTAGCTTTAGAAACGTACAATAAAACTAAGGGTAATTAGATTAATCCTCCCACTAACCCAATGTCAAACAGACGTACACGGCCAATATTATTTCCGTGATTACTCTTATTAAGTATTTTGTGTCTGCGATAGCCATCTCCAATTTTGAAATGACAGACTAGAGGGAAGGCAGCTAGTGAACACCATCCACCGCCAACTCGTGGGCTACTTTTTTCAGACTAAACAGTGTGAGTTGACTGTCACTCTTATAACGTACCTATGGTCTCAAATATCAGATTGCGTGTTTTTGTGGTAGTAACGAGACGCGAACCATGGAACCTCAGCTTAAAAGTCCGGCACGCTGACCACTGAGTGGCGTTTGGCCCTGATTAACTAATATATACTTGTGATGTGTGTGGGAAAGAACAAGAACACCTAACAATTAATTTTTAATTAATGATTATAAGATGTTGGACCAAAATTTACCACGTTAGTAGGAAATATTACCTAATGCATAAATTGTGAATATAATATATATATATATATATATGTAAATCAAAGGATTAACAATTTGAAGTCAGTAATTTATTAGGCCAACTTCCAAAAACCCAGTGGTACAATTTATTTAGCACGTACGTAATATATTATTCATCTTATAACAATAATGAGATGATATTTACACAGCGAACGCATCTGTCCAGTAGAACGACGGATCATCATAACAGAATACTCGCAAGGATGTTATAGTGTAAACACTTTTTACAAGTCGGCGCAAAATGATTACAAGTCGTACTTGTCATAAGACATTAGTATTAGGCCGATTACGTTATTTAAGCACTACATTCTTAATCTAGTCCCTTAGGGATTTTCAAGAAGAGTTTATAATTATAATATTCCAAACACATTATAATGGATGTTGCAGGAAACATCATTAAGACGGATCATCACAACAGAACACTTGCAAAAATGTTGCAGGATACATAATTACGACGAATCATTATAAAATAATACTTGCAAGCATGGTGCAGAATACAGAAGTAATATGGATCTCCATAAAAAAAAATAAAAAAATGCAAATATAGCGCAGAATAGAGAAAGACGACTGATCATCATGAAATAACACTTGCAAGAATTGTTCTGACAGCAGAAGTACAACAAATAATTATAAAGGAACACCCGCCAAGCAAGGATGATTCTTATAAACGTAACTCTTGTATCCTTGGTGTTCATATAGGCTCGCCTGATTGATACTTTCAGACCATCCAGCATAGTTTTATCATCAAAACCAGAACCAACAGGAGTTGGGGCATTAAGTTTAGTTTAAACCTTTTATGTTGAAAAGTTCAGCTTATACCAGTGAGAGCATTTTCAAAGCTTAGAAGTTCATGACGCCTTTGTCACGCTGCTCACCCTTCATGAAACACTTTATACGACCACACAGGTGATTCAACTCTTCTTATTAGCCTTAACAGGGGATGTTCCGTTTCAGGACAGCACTAAAAAACTTGTTCAACTTGATCTCCATTTTATTCTTTGACATGATCCTCACATTACTCTTGTAACAAGCCGAGTGTGTTACCAAGCACGTGAACAACTTGCTTCTTTAGAGTTCAGCAAAATGAACGAGAATACAGTGACCATAGCCTATACGACACAGAACCAGATGTGCACATACTGACTGCAGTATAATCGCTTACAATGAATACTAACTTTTATGTGATCATAACATAGAGATAATGTTATGACCTACCACAAACTTTACTACATGTGTAACGATAAGAATCTCTAATATAACATTTTACTAAAAAAAAAACCTGAAAAGTCAATAAGTACACTGACTATTATCATAATTGAAAACGCTTTATTCGTAAGTTATTTAAAAATTTAAATACATTTCCACAGTTACAGGATTTGTTCACAGGTTATTAACTTTAATAAAAAGAAGCTTTTCTTTCACATTGAAATTTCGGTATAACTTGAACGTACTTTCATACGCATACACACACACAAAATCATGCTGAAAACTGTAAACGAAGACTACTGTTAACAACAAACGATATCTCCCGAGGAACACAACGAGAAATACCTATTCTTTACCTGTTCACCCTCTGTCCACATGACATATTTCATCACAATTACGTTCTCGCAATATTAATACAGAGCGAATAGTAACAAGCACTGAATGAAGAAAGAGACATAACAAAATACAACATTTTTTTTTTGTAGTGAAAAACGGATGACCTGCTAAAGGACAGTATTACCTTTGGTCAAGAAAATAACGATTCGTCCACTCTCAAATAAGTGGACGTTCTGTAAATACTAGATTAGCATTTTTAACTTTCATTACTTGACTTTTGTATATACTTAAGGGGAAAATGTACATAGATCGTAAGTCTGTATAACCCCTGTCCAAAGAATTTATGTGAAAATGTCAAGTTAAAGCTACAACTGGCACGCAACGAATCCATTATCGCAAAGCTTTTCTCTCGCTTGAATTTTTTTCCTGTTTTGTACGAACATTCACAAGGTATTAGGCTTTAACTTTATTTCCTTACAAACCAGTTTTATAAGTTTACTGCTCCTTTTCCCTTGTATACTTACACACAAGGGTCGCAGTCAGACTACAAATAGTTTATAACTTCCTCCTAAGTGTTTTTAAATTCAAAAGTTTATGCTTTCTTGTGTAACTTATCATTTTCATTATTTATTCGAATTGATAATTTTTTCCTAAAGAACCGATGAACATCTAATATGTATCCAATTTATGAATTATTTGTTGATAAGTTAGCAATGTATGGTTGGTTGAAAGTTAAAAATCTATTGTTTTTGTAATTAGCACTATGTTGACTGATATCAAATATACAAAACAGAGCGATCGCTTATCTCTATATCAACAAAGCAGCACATGTGGGACATTCAGTTGCTGGAAAATATTTAACCATTCAAGTGTTTGTAACATAAGCTTGCTGTAAGATAGACCAGTGGTTCTCGAACGTTTCTGTACGAGAACCACTTCGGCGGGGCCAAAGACACCGCGGGCCACCAATACGGTCCTACCCCCACCTGTTCTGTTCTCTCGTATGGCCTCGGTTGTGGTGCTGCGACTCAGTGTCTTGCATTTTAGACCAGCCCATGGACACCAGAGGCCATGGGCGGGCGAGGGGGGGGG